GAAAAATATGCAATTGTGGTAAAAAGACCAAGGGTGGGCGCCTTGCCCCAAGCCCATGGGCCCATTGCCCCAGGGGTGGGGCAATGGGCCCATTTTGACACTTTTTACAAAATAGTGTTTCATTACAAATGGAATAACTCTATAGGCGTCTAATTCACATCATACATTCCTCATTAGTTGCACCTTTAAACAAAACAAAGAACCACCTCGTATCAATTAAAACTTCATCAAAAATTTAGTTGAAAAAAAGTGGGGGGCGCGCTGCCCCACGTTGCCCTACCCCTCCAATTCTTCAAGTGAATTTACCCCAGAATATTTACCCTATCCTATCAATTTACCCTAGAATGTTCTTAATACTACCATCATCGTTACTTATAATTTAAAACGTTTCGAAAATCCGAAAATGGAAGAACGGAGAAAAATTTCACAAGATTTAATACCAAATAGATTCGCTTCGGTCACCGGTAAGCCTCGCATTGGTCAATGTATGCTGATTTTTTATTATTAACATTCGTTTACTTGCAAGAAGAAAATCGCGTCTTTTTGTAATATAACTATTAATATGTGTTAGGTAAGAAAGTTATTTGTTAGGCTAGTAATTTGGTTTAAAAGAGCGTTGAGTTTAAAAGCATTGAGTGTGATCAATGCTTTTTTTATAGAAAATTTTTGCTATGTGCTAGTAATAGCATTTTTAAGTATTATTTGATGAGATTCATATGAAAAATAAAGTTTTATTGCGGGTCGCATTGTTGTAAATCAATTTCTTCTAATATTATAGCATTCCTGTATAAAATTACGCTAAGAGGATGCAACCTGCACTTACTGAACACAAATTCAGTTGCTGACCCTCATTCATACAAGACACTTGTATTCTGTATTAAATTCAGGAAATGTATGATATGTGAAGGTCCATCTAAAAGACTGACATCAGAACGGAGGCAGAGAAAACATGATGCCCACCACCGAGACCTTGAAGCGTGGAAGCCTAAGCATCAGAAAATGACCAAATAAGAATAAATGAAATAATAAATACTCTGCTTTATAAACCTGGCACGAGATAAGTGGTACAGCACAATTTTCTTTGTACTTAACCAAGAAATTCTTAGAAAATCATAATACACTTTCACTCCCCCAACTACATGATCGATAAATATAAATATTTTTCCTATTTTCAGTTATTATTAAAAAAAATGCTTGTAATGGTATATTAGTTAATCATCCTATTTTCATTATTTATTAGATCCTTGTAATAAAATATTAGTTAAGCTCGATATAAATAATATTCATCATATTTTCAGTACTTATAAAATCCTTGTAATAAAATATTAGGCAAGCTCGATAAAAATAATATTCATCATATTTTCAGTACTTATTAATTCCTTGTAATAAAATATTAGGTAAGCTCGATAAAAATAATATTCATCATATTTTTAGTACTTATGAAATCCTTGGAATAAAATATTAGTTAAGTTTGCGTAGCTGGTGAGACGTAGCGTGCGGCAGAGCTCGTCAGACGCCGGCATTGTAGCGCTGGATGTAATCGCCCCACGGCAACAAAAGCTTCAATTTGAGTGCACACTAAACCCCCTTCCCCCTCCAGCCCCTTCCCCCTCCAGCCCCTTCCTCCCCTCCATGTTCTTGGGGGGATGCCTAGATGCCTATACCTTTCTTAGATGTGGGGGATGAGGGGTGGGGGTCTGATGCAAGCGATACCGCGGCAGCACAATGCCGACGTGTGGCCTTAATTTCAGGCTCGTGTATAAACGTCTTGAATTTCAGCAGGAGCAACCATTGTAACCATTGTGCTCTTGCAGCGCGTGTAGCGAGGATCATTTGCAGCGCGTAACCATTGTGCTCTTCACTGTTAATAAAAACGGTGAAAAAACGGTCCCACTGGCGTTCTAGTGGCAGGTCGCCCCGTGAAAATAAACCGTTTCACAGTTTTAATCAGATTTTTTACGGATTTCTAGTGTTAAATTAGAATAAAAACTGCGACACGGAGTTTCTTTTCACGTGCCGACCGGCCACTGAAACGTCGGTAATACCGTTAACGGTAATTTTTCTTAGTGTTGCAGCGCATGTGTAGCGAGGATCATTTGCAGCGCGTAACCATTGTGCTCTTGCAGCGTGTGTAGCGAGGATCATTTGCAGCGTGTAACCATTGTGCTCTTGCAGCGTGTGTAGCGAGGATTATTTGCAGCGTGTAACCATCATGATATTTCAGCATAAGCGTGTTTTCAGTGCCATCAATCTACCATAATGCTTTTTGGGGTGTAAGTACTGTTATTTGAATATTATCCTTATCTGAAATTGAGGTTGAGCAACAATACCAATAGATTTTTAGATCGTTCTGACATCTCTAATGGTTTAAATCATCGAAAAAATTTGATTTTAATCATAATTCAGAGTTTAAAAATCTTTGGCAGCTCACTCGCGAGTGCCTGACTAGATGATCTGGCTTATCATTAAACGGCGACAGCTTAATTAACCATTACGAACCTCACCATCGCGATCATCCTATTCTTTATGCAGGTCACAAAATTATAATAATTGTGATAATTCACTTGCTATGTATGCTTCCATCAAAATTAGCTAAGCTTATAATAGTTCAGTAAATTTATTTTCCGTGACGCCTTGATCTCTTTGTGCGCTGCAATCAAAATTGGATCAACTTCTCGCCGGGCGCTGCAGCTCCTTTTAAAAAGATTATCAGAAGCAATATCCTGCACATGTTCTCTGTCTTAACTCTGGTTGTCATGTTGGCATAGAGTGGAGTGGCCACCTAAAGGCCACCGATGATTCGCCTGTTATTCTCCTAAAATATTTACCAGTGGACTTTAGGCGGCTACAGTGAATATTGGCTTATGTTAGAAGAAGAGTGGCCACCTAAAATCCACCGATGATTCGCCTGTGATTCTCCTACAATATTTACCAGTGGACATAATGAGGCTACAGTGAATATTGGCTGAAGAGAGCTCAACGTCAAGATATTATTCTTGACAAACTCTAGCCCTCATGTCGGCTTAATGAGGCATTAAATATAAGAGTAGACAGATCATATTCTCATGCATTATACAGGGATTCAAACGCCTCATATTTTCAATAATTATAAATGCTTTTAGAAGCCTCATATTCTCATTAATTATGTGAGTAATAATGCCTCATATTCTCATTAGTTTAGTGAGCAATGAGGCCTCATATTCTCATTAATTATGTGAGTAATGAGGCACCAAATTCTCATTAATTATGTGAGTAATGAGGCCTCATATTCTCATTAATTATGTGAGTAATGAGGCCAGATTTACCCGACTAGGAAGGATAATGAGGAGTTGGAAAGGAATTTAATGAGTTTATGACACAATATGACACAGCTTTGTGTTCTGTGTTGACTTGTGTTCTGTGTTGATTTGTGTTCTGTGTTGACTTGTGTTGTGTGTTGACTTGTGTTGTGTGTTGACTTGTGTTCTGTGTTGACTTGTGTTCTGTCTTGATTTGTGTTCTGTATTGACTTGTGTTGTGTGTTGACTTGTGTTGTGTGTTGACTTGTGTTCTGTGTTGACTTGTGTTCTGTGTTGTCTTGTGTTCTGTGTTGACTTGTGTTCTGTGTTGACATGTGTTCTGTGTTGACTTGTGTTCTGTGTTGACAACATGACTGCAGGTTAATAACACAACATGACGTTAAGTATTTAATTAAGTATGTGTACACATGGAGCACAAACACACATAATTGATCACATCAATAAAATGTAACGCAGAAGCTGACCAAACACAACATTTATCATGGAATATTAGAAGTTTTTTTAATGTTAGTCAAAAATTGCGGTATCGTCAGGATGCACAGTGTTTCAAATTAATGAATGTTGAATTATTATTATTCTGTTTTATAAAAAATAATAGTTGAGTTGAAGAGAATTTATTTTAACATATAAGCTTTTTTAATGGTAGTCAAAAATTGCGGTATCGTCAGGATGAACTGTGATTCACCACGTCAAATGAATGAATGTTGAATTGTTGAATAATTCACTTTTATGAAAAATAATAATTGAGTTGAAGAGAATTTATTCATAAGGATGGAAGAGACGCTGTCGCATTGCTTCACTGTGCAGACGCGCCTCTATCCCTAAACAAAATATAAATAAAATATAATTCGTTAGAAATAATTATAACGATTGCATAAAGCCTGCTGCTGTGAACCTTAAGTTACATAACCTTTTTTTTCGTGAACTTCAGTTCTGATATGTAGAAAACATAGAGCAGGTATACTTCAGAATATACCAACATTCTAAAAAGCATTGCTTAACATAACATTTTTAATAATATATCTTTCAAAACACTAATATTGATCATCTTAAACCAAATCAACTTGAGCATAACAGGAAAAAAGCATGAAGTTTAATAGTATTTTACTAGATAACCTGAATATGGTTAAATCCAAACTACCATAATGCGCATTTAAAAACCAGGTTTTATTACAAGCCTGTGAGCTACAAATCATTCCGTATTCTCACACCCAGTAGCGAGTTTCGAACCTCCAACTTGTTTCTTCATGGCTCCATATTTGCATATCCTTAAATTATGCAGTACATGTTTGGAGACATGTTTACATATACACACATCATACAGCCTTTCTTATGGAGCCATGTTTACATTTACTTTTAATATACAGCATTTGTTTGGAGCCATGTTTACATTTCAATTTTAACATCGATGACGAATATGAAGCAGGGACTTGCAGCATAACATTATATTAACTTAACATTTTATTAACATAACAATTAACTAACATAATGTTTTCATAGATATAGCCTTTTATTGACTAAACATTTTAGTAATATAACATTTTATTAACATAACATTTAAGTAACATAACGTTTTATCGGCATAGCATTTTATGGATGTTCGGCGTTTATTTTACGGAACGATGCACCCCAAAAAAACGAAGAACAATTCCTAGCTGATGAAAAATGCGGCGGAGATTTGAGGAAACAGACGCGTGCAACCTTCTGTTGGCAGGTGGTAATGGCTTCCCTGTTGGTGGCAGGAGGTAATGGCTTCCCTGTTGGTGGCAGGAGGTAATGGCTTCCCTGATGGTGGCAGGAGGTAATGGCTTCCCTGTTGGTGGCAGGAGGTAATAGCTTCCCTGTTGGCGGCAGGAGGTAATGGCTTCCCTGTTGGCGGCAGGAGGTAATAGCTTCCCTGTTGGCGGCAGGAGATAATGGCTTCCCTGTTGGCGGCAGGAGGTAATGGCTTCCCTGTTGGTGGCAGGAGGTAATGGCTTCCCTGTTGGTAAAGGCTTGCAAAACTAAAAAACTAATAAAAGCAGGTATTAGGTGTTTATTCCTTAATGTTTTTCACTTGGCGCATTATTAATTCATTATTATTCATTATTAATAATTCAAAGTTGTATGTTTATGGGTAATTGACTTCTCATCGAGCAAGTTTCACGTTCTTTTTTCATGATTGTTTATTAAAAACTCGTTATTAATTGTAAATCTGGGCAAACTTATCATAGACAAAGCTCTTTTGAGCTGCCGCCGAATAGCCTGCTACATTTATTAATATATAAAACTAGGCTAAACGTACGGCAACTTGTTTATTCGCAATCCTCGTAAGAATAGCATTGTTGGCAGTTAGAGTTAACCTCCTAGCTCCAAACAGACCAAAATTAGAAGGGTCACCCCTAACCGATCTAATTTTGGCTGTTTACAATTAAACATTAATTCATCATTAATTCATCATTCATTCATCTTTTTACCGAAAAATTTCATTCTTTATTCGCATTATACAAACATATTTCATGATTGCATGGTAATGTAAACTTAACTTATTCGCTCAACTCGTTCATGCATGAAGTGTCAATTGCAAACGATTTTGCCATATATTACACTTAATCAAGATACTTCCGATACGCACACGCACCATCCGTACACTTGCCACGTACAAACGTCTTTGTTACTAGAGTTACGTCTTTGTTACTAGAGTTACGTCTTTGTTACTAGAGTCACGTCTTTGTTACTAGAGTTACTCGACATTTTAATAATAACATCGCTAAAGATATCATGATGCACAGCTATGATAAAGGTAGCCTTTATTTAGTTATTATACAAATCACACAGAACCAGGAGCAAAATACATGTATATCTTACTCAGAACATGTATATCTTACTCGGAACTTATATATCTTACTCGGAACTTATATATCTTACTCAGAACATGTATATCTCACTCGGAACTTATATACTGTATCTTACCCAGAACGACTCCAGCTAGATCACATTTTTCAATCTACAAATTAATCAATTAATCTTTCAACTAATCTCTCAAATACTAGATTGTATGATCCTGAATATATTAGTGTATTTTCACCTCTGGTGAATATACAGTAATATATTTAGTGTATTACGATTCGCATCCTAATATCTTTTATCGCACGCATTTAAATCTAAATGGGCACTTCATATGATCTATACGAAGACGTATCGAAATATATATAATGATGGACTTACGTTTATAAGGTTATCTCTTATATTGTAATTTATGACGTAAATTAGGTTCGAAGACGCTATATCTAAACCGTACATCTCCTTAGCATCGCCAGTACTTTACCTAACACTATGTAACATCACAGGTTCTTATGACGTCTAGGTTTGGGCGGGTAACATTTATACTTCTTCAAAACATTTATAATCAAGAGTATTAATAAGATAATAATTAGTAAATCAATAGGACATCTAGCGTAATCAAACATTACGTATGTCAACATTAGTGTCAACTTATCATCTAGTGTATCATTACATTGCTCGGTCAATGTGCATGTCAACATATCAACGTTTGTTTCAACACCTCATCACTGAAACAACATGCCCACTCAACACTCATGCCACTTTATCATCAAAAAGTTAAGCATATATATTTTTAATGATACGCACCTTCAAACATCTATATAATCAATCATTAATATCGTGAGAAAATTTATGTTTTATCTTACATTTGTTCTATTTATGCCTGTCGTCGTCGTGTTGTGGTTTGTTGTCTTCAATATGCTTTAATTTTTGTCATGTTCCTTATAAATATCTTTCTTCATAGTTCTGTTGTCGTTAAGTTCTAAATACTGACATCGCATGTGTGCACTCAAACTGACACCTACACTGTCTGTGTTTGGCCTGAATAAATACGATCAATACATTAACGCACTCAAGGCCATTCAATGAATAAAACATCTGCATAAGAACTAACGCCGCTCTATATAACAGCTGCCGTACAATATACTTACGTTTTGGTTCCTCAACATCCGTAAATCATCAGCGTTTTATGTGCACAGTAAGCGTGTGTAGTGAACGGCTTCTAGGATCCCAAAGAAACCAAACGCTATCGTGTAAATTTTTGAAATTTTCCCGTTTAACTTAGATTTTTGAGTCGATCTTTTAGTTTTTATATTATTTGACGAATTTTCGGTGTTGTTTTACAACGAATTTTAGTTTCTATAATCATAATCTGATCATAATGCAATTCATTTCATTATTTCCATCATTTAATTCGAATTGTAATTATCCGAGCAAGATATTTGCAGAATATGATGCGTTAATAAAGAATTTTTTTTTGCTAAAAAATTGAATTTTCTGGAGATAATCTTATTTAAACTCGATTTCTCGATTTTAACCAACTACAACTATTAAGATTTTGACTGGACTTCTGCCTTTGCCAATATCATACCACGCTCCCTTTACTAAACTTTTAAAGTTTTAGAAAGATATCTTCTATTTATATCTTTTCTTTCCTGCGTGTTTTCGGGAAAATTCAGATTTTTTCGTGTGATGAACCACGCGTTCGAAAACAGGACGAGTCCCTTTCTAGGATGTGAAGCCATTTTGGTATTTTAGATTGAGAAGTGCTTCAAGTTTTTTTAGAATGAGAAGTGCTTCAAATTTTTTTTTTAAATGAGAAGGGCTTCAAGTTTTTTTAATTTGAGAAGTACTTCAAGTTTTTTTAGATTGAAAAGTGCTTCAAGTTTTTTTTAGAATGACAATTGCTTCAATTTTTTTAGATTAGAATTAGAAGTGCTTCAAGTTTTTTTTTCTCTGAGAATTACTTCAATTTTTTGGGAAATGAGTAGTGCTAGAATTTTTTTAGAATGAGAAGTGCTTTACGTTTTTTCTTGATAGAAAGCCCTTCACGTTTTTCCAAAAGTCGCCATAAAATTTGTAGCCGATATCGAGCGCGCTGTAGCGACGAGCCTCAGACATGTCGACCTGCCATCACGAGGCCGTAACTTCGTCCAACATGACCGAGAACGACCGCACTTCATCGCAACTCTTCAACAAACGTCTATTCCTCGTAAAAATGTAGACTAATTTTTTTACATCTACTGTGAAAATTAGATTAATTCGTAAAACAGTAATTTGAATTAAATCGAATTCTAAACATGTAAAAGCCCATCAAGATTAGAATAGTCTAGGAAAATACGTTCCATAATGCGGTTTAAGCTTCCTGGTACAGAGAAATTTAAGGCTGAGACTTAATGTTCTTTGCCTATAATTTATACATTAACATTGTTATAACTATAATTAAACAAATCTATAACCCTAACCCCACATTTATGCGATATACATATATCGGAAGCGGTTATCTTGAGATCAGCGCTTCTCATTCAGAGTCCGTATGATATTTGCGGATATATATAAATTTTTATATATTATCAAATAATAGAAAAACCATCAAATATTCAATGCAAGACCTGATCAAGCGCTTTGCTATAATTTGTTATCTCCAGAAATATCTGCAGATATCAATGGCTGATCAGTCTCAAGTGATCCAAAGACTAGGGAAATGTAAGCCCATAATAAGAATTATACCCTGTTCAGTGTTCACTCTACGTAAGAGTCCAACACATTCTGACGTTCCAAATAATCTCGTAGGGAATTACACATTAAACATATATGAATAATATTCTGGTGCGACGATTATAACAAAGGTTCAGTTGCGTTGCTGAACAGGGCAGCCTCCTCGTCGTAAGAAGTTCTGTCTGCAAACTCAGCAGCTTCTTCTCGCGAGCTCACAGATTCTATTTTCTCGAGGTACGGCCTCGCTGAACTGCATGCTGGTGCGTGGGGCGTAGTTATAACACAAGGGACGGTCGAACTGATATCGGGTGTTGAACACTGGGTCTCTGTCGCCTGATGGCTGTTGAATTGATCAACATAGCGCGTCAGGTCCTTTGCTTTACACGAAATGTCCGATGATGAAACTGAGCGGTTGTCGGAAGTTTGCGCTAGCGTCGATGTCGCTGATGTGGACAAACCCATTTGTAAGAGGAGACCGCTGGGGTCGTTATCGTGCTGGGTATCCCCAGATGGGGTCAGGATTGGTGGGGTTATCAAGGGGATATTAGGAGGATCGAAGGGACTCAACGCTCGGCTCGAGGTGCCGGACACCGGCCGATACGCCGGCAGGAGGTTGTCTGCATTGACATCGGTGCTGGTCGTGTGGATGTCGTGCACTTCAGCTGAGTTGCGTGTTGTGTTGAAGTATGAAACTTGTGATAAATTTGGCTGAGAGTGACGAAAGTGGCGAGGCTGTAGGGCTCCTGAGCCGGTGGGTGCTTGGAAATGGTGAAGTGGGAGAAGCTGCTTACTTGTCTTCTGATGGTGAAAGTTATGGTGAGGCTGGTTACTGCCATTGGTGATGAATGTTGTTGTGGTTGTTACTTCTGAACAAACGGACTCTCGCTTGTTGCCCATGCCAGCAAAGAACCGTCGACTGTACCTGAGCAGATTTCGAAAAAATTAAAATAACAATTAATTAATCAATCTTTTAATGTTTAACATCAGCCCCATTAATGCGGTCAATCACATCCATGAAAAATGTTGAACTTGTGATTCCCAAAAAATTTTTGAAAGAAAAGTTCTTGCTAACTGGACAAAATATAAATAAAATCCTCGAGTCTGACGAGCGGGGCAAAATTCGACTCAGCGAGTCTCTGAAAATTGAGGAGCCTTCACAATGGCTCCTTGAATTTCTCGGGCGCGCGTGAAATACGTGCGAGCATTTCAGAGTTTTCAGGCCCAGCGATAAAAATGGTAAGGAAATTTATTCAAGGAAATGAATAAATGAAATATGTCCAAATATCGTTAGTGATCAAACGCAACTTCAGATGATATATAGTATATATATTTGTGACGTAATTAATCTACAGTAAATCTACAGTAATTATTTTATCTATGCGGCATAAGTGTGAAGGTAAAATATATCTTCCTTCCATTAATTGTAATTAGTGCAGTGTTTGAATTCGCAACGAAGAAACGCAAGACGTTTGAAATTTAACTCCATTGATGAATTCATACAATAAAATCTTTAAAATTTTCAGCAAATTTATATCTATGATCAATAGTTAATATATAAAACCACTTTATTGGACCATCTGTTGATGAATTCATACATTTTCTTGAATTGATGAATTCAATTTTGATTGAAAATGAATTGATGAATTCATTTTTTTTATGAATTCATACATTTTACAGCATTCTAGCATATTTATATCTATCATAGCTAATATATATGACCAGGTCTTTATACCGTCTATCCGTGCCACGTGATGCCCTAAAGTCCCTACCTGGACAATCTGTTAGCACGAGGCGACGTATCTCGCCCCAGCTTCTCCAAGGAGCGATTGTTGTTCAGTAGGCCGCGCTCGTTTCTCCACCGCGCGATGTGGTGGCGAATACTGTTCTGCACCTCACTGTTCAGGAAACAGTAGAACAGCGCCACCCACAGACCCTGAGAACACAACACGCACCAAATTACTTAGTAGAACAGCGCCACCCACAGACCCTGAGAACACAACACGCACCAAATTACTTAGTAGAACANCGAAGAGTATGTTGGTGGCCACTCACCCACATAATACGGCACACGAAGAGTATGTTGGTGGCCACTCACCCACATAATACGGCACACGAAGAGTATGTTGGTGGCCACTCACCCACATAATACGGCACACGAAGAGTATGTTGGTGGCCACTCACCCACATAATACGGCACACGAAGAGTATGTTGGTGGCCACTCACCCACATAATACGGCACACGAAGAGTATGTTGGTGGCCACTCACCCACATAATACGGCACACGAAGAGTATGTTGGTGGCCACTCACCCACATAATACGGCACACGAAGAGTATGTTGGTGGCCACTCACCCACATAATACGGCACACGAAGAGTATGTTGGTGGCCACTCACCCACATAATACGACACACGACGAGTATGTTGGTGGCCACTCACCCACATAATACGGCACACGAAGAGTATGTTGGTGGCCAGCACAGCAAACACTGGCACTCTGACCACCCAGTTCAGGTCGCTCTCATGGTGCAGGAAGCAACCTACGCTCACCGCCTCGTGGCCCATGGTCGACGCGCTCTGCGATGAGGGGGCGGGGGTGTTGGTTGATTGTAATGTTTATGGTATTATAAATGCCTTATATTGGCTTATTAAGACATAATTATGGTAATAATTTAATAATTAGTTATTATTTATTATTAGTTTAAGACATTTGGCCACAGTGTTCAAAGACGCGCAACAAGAATAGTTCCGGGCTTGAAAGGCAAGTCCTATGAGGAAAGATTAAAGATTATGAAACTTCCAAGCCTCAGTTATCGACGTCTGCGTGGTGACCTCATTGAAGTATACAAGTATACTCATGACTTATACAAGGTCCCAGAAGGATTACTAGAATTTGAAACAAGAACCAACACCAGGGGCCACGGATATAAACTAAAAAAACAGCGTTGGAACACATCCATGCGACAACATTTCTTCTCGCTTCGAGTCACCGACACGTGGAACAGCCTACCTGATAGCATCGTTGACGCTCCGAGTATGAACATCTTCAAAAACAGACTAGACGAAGCTATGCAGGAGCATATGTTCAGTTTTGAAATGCCTAGCAAATTACGGACCAGGCAATAAGTCCAGCAGCTATCTTCCCTTGTGAATCAAGTCACGAAAAGTTCAAGAATCGGCAACAGGCAATGGGCCTATTTCTTCACTTCTATTCTATTCTATTATGGTACTAATTTAATATCACAAGAGAAATGTTTAAATATTTTACATAGGCCTAAGCTCTGAGGCAAGACTAACTACACTGATGCTGGATTAAAAGACGTGTGCGGCAGTATTGGTTTAAGTAACGTAATTATTTTATTATGTTATGTCATTATGATGTAATTTTATTTATTTTGTACCGGTAGGTGAGTTGCTCCATGAACAATTTCTTCATAATTAAGTCACCAGTTCCAGTAATAAGGTGTAGTGCAGCCGTTTGGGGAATTATCCATCAGAAGATATAGTAGTAGAGATCAAGCTGCCTTGTGGCCATCTAGAGCAGGAGTATGACAGCAGACTTCAACTAGTTATGTCACTACCCTTGAAATGTAGTCATTAATTGACTAAAAAATATATAAATGAATAAATATAGCGGTTTCAGCGTTTATTAGGCCGTAGACCTGTCGCCAATTCTTAACATTGCAGAACATCCACAGCATGTTGCGGGCTTGAACTCGCAACTCACTGCTTCAAATTTTCTTTAACCGCCCGACCTCCTCACCGATTACCAGAAACTGGCGCACAGAGCTGGGATCGGACCGCACCTCTCTGCTCCAATCTTGGTAGTACTCTGAACTGTAACAACTCGGCCACCCCTTGCGATTTCATCTCGTTTTTTATGGTCATTTGGCGTGGTTAACTCGGGTGGTGAACATGTCAGGCTGTGTTGTAGAAGCTAGCACTCCTCACCACTGTGGTCATCATACGTGATCTAGTGTGGCTAGTACCCCTTCACATCGCTTCTGTCACTCGTGTGCCTGTGAGTGGGGCGCTGTCGTTGTACAAAACATGACAATTTTCAAAGCTACAACTGGGCATCCCGCTTCGTCTCGGTATCGTCTCGGACTTCTCCATTTGTTCGGAAAATTGTCTCGACGTTCATCACTAATCGGAACCAAGCTTTTATTATCATTTAGTCGGAATAAATTGAACAATAAACACAAAAACAATACTCACGCCAGATGGCAGGGCGAAGTATCGCGCCAGCACCCAGGCCAATATTATGGGTGCTCCACCAACTGTTGTACAATAAAGCCAGATAGCATTAAAAACATTAAACTTCAATAAATCTCTCAAATTCTTGAGCTGGGACCCATCAAATAATTTCTAAATTAAATCCAAAACTACATTCTTTGCATTAATTTCCCAAGAAATAATTGGCTGTATTGCATCAATTTTTTAAATTGTCTCGCATTGAACCTTCCAAAAATGTGTTATAATCATCAAACTTTTCTTGAATGAATCCCCTAGATTAATCTGTTTCAATTTCTTGCTTTGTCATGCATGTATTAATGAATGATGATATCATTACTTCCATGATCCGGTCATGATGAAGGCATACTATATGGGGTTAACATGTTTTAGTACTTGATAATTAGATGCATTTCCATATCACGGACGTAACAGAGAGCTACTAAGCATTCCGTTAATAATTTAAGATAATTAGAATTTATATAATATGAATTATATAATAAAATTATATACTATGAATTATACAATAGAATATGACTTTGAAATGCAGGGGTGTTAAGCTACTGACCCCAGCCGATGACGAGGTAGACCTTGAGCTTGATGTTCTCCACGGAGAACGTCTTCACCACCAACACGTACAAGTACAGACCTGCCAACATATTTACATTCATTTTCTGCGGGATATTATTGAATAATCTCATATATTATTGCAAGGCTGCTTGACGGGGGAATGTCTACCAATTATATTACAATATCATTATTAATATGTTAATATTTTTCATTTTCCTTTCTACAAATGTCAGTGTGTATTTGATAATTAGTTTATTTAATTCATACGAGTTTTTGAATAATGCATTTCAAATATCATATAAAATTTATTACCTTCAACAAACATCCACATGAAGTTGGCGAGCTCAGCGTACTTGAGCAGCACGCAGAAGACGCAGTCAACCTTCTCGTGGACGTGGAACTGCGGCAGCGCGTAGATAAATACGTCGCAAATATTATACGTATAAAACACGTGGCAAATATTATACATATAAAACACGTGACTCATATAAAACACGTGGCAAATATTATACATATAAAACACGTGGCAAATATTATACATATAAAACTGGCTATATGAACTAGCTACTCCATACGCTACTATTTATGATAATAATTTGACTGATTATTATTCTACTATTTATGAGACTCCTTGTACTCAAATGGTTCTTTGGCTTCGTAATGGCAATATACAAAGAAATTTGGTTTCATGTTCATCAAATAAGTTATGAGCATTGCCTGATACGGAAACAATAAACTTTAAACTTGGTAATAAATAACGAACATGAAGGTATAAGATGTGGGGCAGACAGACTTTAATGCAAATAATAAATAGCGAACATGAATGTATATGATGTGGGGCTGACAGACTTCAATGCAAGTAATAAATAGCAAATAAAAAGGAATATACTGCGGGCGGACAGACTTTAATGCAAATAATAAATAGCGAATATAAAGGTATAAACTGTGGGGCTGACAGACTTCAATGCAAATAATAAATAGCGAACATGAAGGTGCATGATGTGGTGCTGACAGGCTCTAATGCAAATTCTGTGAAGTAAATAGGAAGAGTGAAGACAGCGTGGCAATTGAATACGTAGCTCGAGGCTCTGGAGTGTCGGCATGAAAGGACCAGCTGGCCTCAAGGTGCATTTGGCAGACTTGTGAGTTCAAAAGTAGAGTGCCTTCCCAGAATATCCAGAATTTCGCTCTATCCATAATTTGTTAAAGTTATTGACTGTGAATACTTTTTTTTGGCCACTGTGTTGGTATTTTGATTTACAGGTACGATAATTTTTCAGCAAGTTTAATGATATTAATATTACTGAGTACTTAATATTTAAAATCAATCAATGTTTTCTGGAAGATATTTTCGTGGAAATCTTTACACATTTATCATGTATTCTCTCATTCAAGATATTTTAATTGGCATCTCACTTCCAAAATTAATAGAAGGCTAAGTCTCAATAATATACAAGTAAATTTCTAATTCAATTTTTATATATAGTCACGTGTAAATTCCGTTTATGTATTTCCATTTTTTCAGTTAATTATCAATCCCTTATAATCCTTGTGCCCGAATAACCTTAAGTCAAATTTTGTTGATCTTCAACCTATAACTTTTTATAATTTTTAAGTCTAAATATTTTCGCGACATTCGAATATTTTTTAGCCTCTCAACTTTCATGTTATTTCCAATTTATCAAAAAAAAATTCCCGCCTCATCACAAGTTCGAGCAACTCAAACATCGGAGGACCTCTCGCGCCTCGACAAATTTGCGGCCAAATGCCGAGCAAATAAACGGCCCTCAGGCAATCAACTCTAATTGCGAAATTAAATTCCGCTTCTAATTAATTTATTTAATTTGTTTGTGATGTGCCTGGATGCGCTTAAATTAACCAGCGGCAAGCTAAAAAAACTTTGGCGACCTGGGTTGCGTGTTCGCTACAAAACTCTTCGCGCTCCTAAGTTTTAATAAAACGACTAACAATATCAGTTATTAGTGTACCCATGTAATGCTTTTATTGCCACAAACATTTAGCCAATAATGTAAGGTTTAAAGTCTTTATTCAAGTAACTAGAAACCCCATTGACGCATCTCCTTTAATTAGCTATCCAATTGCAGACCTAAGCAGCGTGGCATTACTCGCGTTTTAATTACCAAATCAGTACATCTTTACCCATCACTTATTAGCCAAATTAAAGATCCTGAAACCTAAATTAACCCTGGCCGTCAATTGACCACTAAGCTGCGTGGCATTACTCGCATTTTAATAACCTCTAATAACCTCATTCAGTACCTCTTCACCTCATGACCTCTTCATACCTCTAATAACCTCATTCTTTACTTATTACCCAAATTAGAGACCATAAATCAACCCTGACCATCAATGGACCACTATATAAGCCGCGTGCACTCGCGTTTTAATAACCTCATTAAGTACCTCTTTACCCATCCCTTATTACCAAAATCAGAGACCATAAACCAACCCTGACATCAATGGACCATGACTCACCAAGATGGAAGCAGACGTGAGCCACAGCAAGTTGTGGAGCAGATAAGTGGCCAGGAGGTTGGCGTGGATGGTGTTGCGCAGGCACCTCAAGTCTCTTCCAAGTGAAACATTTGCATGAACAACTTCACTTTAATGGTAAGTTGATAAGTTCAACTGTTACAGCATACGAGAAACAATACAAACAGAGCATGAATTGAATTACTTGTTGTTGAATTCCTAACGCAATAACATACAAAAAATTATCTACATAATTTTCCTCGTTTAATTGAACGAGCTCTTCTCTTGCAAATTCTAATTCTATTACAAGCATTGTATGGAATGCAACGAATATTAATAAAATAGCTGGAATTGTTCTAGATATTTCAAGCTTTATCAAATTCGGCAAGTATAAATGAATGAGTTTACATTTATAGACCTTTTAATATACTTGCCTATGCTAGTGAAGGATTACTAGCTAGAAGCCTTGTTATTCAATTTCCGTTACTCTCTCAATAAAGTCTACGGTTAGTGGGAGTAACATTTCATTATGTCCCTACAGTGCAAGGGAGAGACCTCTTAGCGACAAACTCTACTGTTATTACGCCTAGTATTTAAGTATCTCTAATGAGTAGGATTAGTCGCTACGATAGCAGTCATAACCTTTTAACCTGATTTTTCATCTACAATAACACATATTATGCCTTTCATATCACATTTATCTGTATCCTTCGCTAACATAGCAAACTTCTAATAAAAAAATCACTCACTAATCAACGAGCCTAAAATACACGTACAGTGTATACTTATAATGAAAAGGTATGAATAACTATTGCGACATTAGTAAAAATCGTCACGTTCATTCATTATAAAATATTTAATAAATAAAAGGCTGACTTGAGGGCGGCGAAGACAGCGAGAGCGATGAGCACGGCTACGAGACTGACGCTGTAGCCCACGTAGAAGATCAAGAGCTTCGTCTTGCCAGACTGTCCGTGCTCTACCGACTGAACGAATAACAAAACTTTTATCTTATATAGAAATATATTTAATATATTTATTGAAGGCTTTGTACAACTTTTAGTTACATAGTTACATTAGCTGTACTAATGGAACCAAACATTGATAAAACATACATAACTAAACACATATAACATAACAAAAACACATAACTAAACATAACTAAATATGGAACATTAGTTGTACTAATGTTTTGAAGTCAATATTTAAATATGATTAACTTCACGTATGTTCTATTTTATATGTTACTTTTATAGTACATTATTCATGTCATTTTTCAATAGTAAATCTCGCTCATATTTCGGTGGCAGCTTCAGCACAGTGCTTTCTGCACCACAGTGTTACGCTGCTGGCACAACTGCACGAGTTTTCGCAAATGCGATGTAATCTTTGCAAATATCAAGTCGTCTTTTGGTTAAACTTTGAATAACGAAGGACAATTTTGAAGGGTAGATAGTATATGCCTCTAAGTTTTGTTCATTGGCCAAACTTTCTGACAAAAATGCATTTTTACCATGAACAAAATTGCAAACTTAGTCCCAAACTGATCTCTCGTTCGAAGAAACAGATGTTAAGAAGCTGGGATGTATCAATCAAATCGTTATTACAATTATTCAAAAAATCATTATTTCTGAAAAAACATCATTTTTCATTCGCGATAATTTTCATTTGATGATATAACAGAAAGAGAGAGGGGGGGGGGTTTCTTGGTAGTGAACGTAAAAATGTAAACATACCCATGGCACTCACCGCTAGTGGAACTCATCACTCAAGGCACTCATCACTAATGGCACTCACCGCTAGGGGAACTCATCACTCAAGGCACTCATCACTCATGGCACTCACCGCTAGGGGAACTCATCACTCATCCACTCACCACTCCCGCCACTCACCACTCCCGCCACACACCACTCACGCCACTCACCACCCACGCCACTCACCACCCACGCCACTCACCACCCACGCCACTCACCACGAGGGGCACCAGCTCGCTGCAGTGGTCGTAGTTGGCTTGGGTCGCCCAGGAGCCGTTGTCGAAGCACTGAAGCGTCGCGTTCTCTGCGGCAGAACAACGCAAAACATGCAGCATAACTTCCATTTTTAGCGCATTTTCTCATTTATGGAAAAAATGCACTATTGTGCTCGCCATGTCCGTCTGTCTGTCTGTCCGTCCGTCTGTCCGTCTGTCCGTCCGTCCGTGACCTCATGTTTTCGTCGACGAGAAAATGCGCTCTCTGTCACTCACCGCAGTGAGTACTGAGTTATATTTTTTCTATATTGTGCGATAATTACATGGAAATATGTATCGTATATATGATCTATATACCCATTACTGCCCTAATGGAACACAAAACCTGCACCACAACTTCCAGTATCAACATTTCTTTGCTGAACTACTTGAGTTTAAAAATAAACTATTGAATTATGATATATTTTTGAGTTCGCTGATGTATCAGAGAAATTAAACTCATCAAAACCTAACTCAAAAAATAAACAACGAAATCAAAAACAAAGAAAATGTCTCATTTGTTGATGATACATTTTCTAGTTCTGTGTGATGGAAATAGATACAACTTGTATCATGGCTTGTAGATAAAATATTCAACGCTAATCTGTTTTGAATTTCTAACCAAGGAGTTTATTTTTCCCGACCCTTCAGTGAATTATCAGTGATTAAATAAGATAACTGTTCAAGTTTACGTTAAAGCTCTGTATAAATCTGTTGTATAAATATAAAAGCTATATCAGTGCTGGTGTATCAAATGTTTTACAATCATTCTTACTTTTTAGGATACGATAACTTAAACATGCGCAAGCCGCAATATATACCCGTATTCTAACTGTAATGTATCAATTAATATACATTCAATTCTCTCCTAAATTTTCCAAATTTCCATTCCACTCCAAATAAAAATGAAATTTCCACTCCAGGCTCCATAATTTCACTTCGCACTTCAAACCACTCCACTCCAGATTCTCTCAAGTGTCTTCTCTTTCTAGGAGTTTCAACTTAGCGCCTCGCGAATGGCAGAGCCTGAGGCCTTAAATGGCGGTGCCTAAGGCCTTAAATGGCGGTGCCTGAGGCTTTAAATGGCGGTGCCTGAGGCCTTATAAAGCGACTAGTGAGGCCATAAAATGCTGTGCCTGAGGCCTAAATACAGGTCCCTGAAGTCTTAAAAGGCGACGCCTGAGGCCTTGAATGATGGTGCCTGAGGCCTTAAATAGCGACGCCTGAGGCCACAAATGGTGATGCCTGAGGCCTTACATGGCGCCGACTGAGGCCATAAATGGCGGTGCCTGAGGCCTTAAATGGCGGTGCCTGAGGCCGTAAATGGTGGTGCCTGAGGTCTTAAATGGCGGTGCCTATGGCCTTAAATGGCGGTGCCTGAGGCTTTAAATGGCGGTGCCTGAGGCCGTAAATGGCGGTCCCTGAGGCATTAAATGGCGGTGCCTGAGGCCTTAAATGGCTGTGCCTGAGGCCTTGAATGGCGGTGCCTGAGGCCTTAAATGGCGGTGCCTAAGGTCTCAAATGGTGGTGCCTGAAACCTTAAACAGTTGTGTCTGAGGCCTTACATAGCGACGAGTGAGACCATAAATGGCTGTGCCTGAGGCCTAAATGGCGGTGCCTGAGGCCGTAAATGGCGGTGCCTGAGGCATTAAATGGCGGTGCCTGAGGCCGTAAATGGCGGTGCCTGAGGCATTAAATGGCGGTGCCTGAGGCCTTAAATGGCTGTGCCTGAGGCCTTAAATGGCGGTGCCTGAGGCCTTAAATGGCGGTGCCTAAGGTCTCAAATGGCGGTGCCTGAGGCCTTAAACAGCTTTGTCTGAGGCCTTAGATAGCGACGAGTGAGGCCATAAATGGCTGTTCCTGAGGCCTAAATGGCGGTCCCTGAAGTCTTAAATGGCGACGACTGAGGCCTTAAATGGTGGTTCCTGAAGCCTTAAATAGCGACGCCTGATGCCTTAAATGGCGGTGCCTGAGGCCTTTAATGGCGGTGCCTGAGGCCTTAAATGGCGGTACCTGAGGCCTTAAATGGCGGTGCCTAATGCCTTAAATGGCGGTGCCTGAGGCCTTACATGGCGACGACTGAGGCCATAAATGGCGGTGCCGGAGGCCTTAAATGGCGGTGCCTGAGGCCGTAAATGGCGGTGCCTGAGGCCTTAAATGGCGGTGCCTGAGGCCTTAAATGGCGGTGCCAAACGTCTCAAATGGTGGTGCCTGAAACCTTAAACAGTTGTGTCTGAGGCCTTACATAGCGACGATGGCCTTAAATGGCGGTGCCTGAGGCCGTAAATGGCGGTGCCTGAGGCCGTTAATGGCGGTGCCTGAGGCCTTAAATGGCGGTGCCTGAGGCCTTACATGGCGACGACTGAGGCCATAAATGGCGGTGCCTGAGGCCTTAAATGGCGGTGCCTGAGGCCGTAAATGGCGGTGCCTGAGGCATTAAATGGCAGTGCCTGAGGCTGTAAATGGCGGTGCCTGAGGCCGTAAATGGCGGTTCCTGAGTCCTTAAATGGCGGTGCCTGAGGCTTTAAATGGCGGTGCCTGAGGCCGTAAATAGCGGTGCCTGAGGCCTTGAATAGCGGTGCCTAAGGCCTTAAATGGCGGTGCCTGAGGCCTTAAATGACGGTGCCTGAAGCCTTAAATGGCAGTGCTTGACGCCTTAAATGCCGGTGCCTGAGGCCTTAAATGGTGACGCCTGAGGCCTTACATGGTGACGACTGAGGCCATAAATGACGGTGCTTGAGGCCTTAAATGGCGGTGCCTGAAGCCTTACAAGGCGACGAGTGAGGCCATAAATGGCTGTGCCTGAGGCCTTAAATGGCGGTGCCTGAGGCCTTAAATGGCGGTGCCTAAGGCCTCAAATTTTGGTGTCTGAGGCCTTACATAGCGACGAGTGAGGCCATAAATGGCCGTGCCTGAGGCCTAAAATGGCGGTGCCTGAGGTCTTACATGGCAACGAGTGAGGCCTTATATGGCAGCGAATGAAGCCATAAATGGCGGTGACTGAGGCCTTAAATGGCGGTGACTGAGGCCTTACATGGCGACGAGTGAAGCCATAAATGGAGGCCAGTGAGGCCATCCTTCTCGAATATTTCTTTCGACCAACAGAAATCCGTCACGAGTTTGCCAGGAAAAATGTGGACCCACATTTCCGAGGTGGCATTTTTTAAGAATACGAGTTTTCTTTCGCGGATAATTCGTCATCAAGAAGCTGCGAGGATTTCCGTGGACTTTTGCCCGAAAAATCCACCGAATTGTTGCCTCGAGCTTTGTGTCTCTTCCGACGAAGGCCTTAGTCTGCACAGGACTTTTTTAGGTTGTTTTTTTGAAGTTATTTTAAGTGCTTTTTTGAGTTTAAGGTGCGATCTTGTCCCGAGAACAATAACTTTATACTTCAAAACATGTCGATAATGGTTTTCCTATTCAACATAATACTTATCTAATTTAACATTTTTCGGCCGAATTTTAGCTTCATCTTATGTAAAAGCATAATTAGCTTAAGATACCAGAATAATTAATGCACGATGAGAATATTTAGTGCGTGGAAGAATATCATAAGCGGGAACAAGAGAAGAGCCTTTTCGTTCAAAACAGAGACGGGAACAAGAGAAGAGTCTCTGTGCTCAAAACAGACACGGGAACAAGAGAAGAGTCTCTGTGCTCAAAACAGACACGGGAACAAGAGAAGAGTCACTGCGCTCAAAACAGACACGGGAACAAGAGAAGAGTCTCTGCGCTCAAAACAGACACGAGAACAATAGAAGAGTCTCTGTGCTCAAAACAGACACGGGAACAAGAGAAGAGTCTCTGTGCTCAAATCAGAAACAGGAACAATAGAAGAGTCTCTGTGCTCAAAACAGACACGGGAACAATAGAAGAGTCTCTGTGCTCAAAACAGACACGGGAACTAGAGATGAGTCTCTGCGCTCATAACAGACACGGGAACAAGAGAAGAGTCTCTGTGCTCAAAACAGACACGGGAACAAGAGAAGAGTCTCTGCGCTCAAAACAGAAGCGGGAACAAGAGAAGAGTCTCTGCGTTCAAAACAGAAGCGGGAACAAGAGAAGGGTCTCTGTGTTCAAAACAGCAACGGAAACAAGAGAAGAGTCTCTGCGCTCAAGACAGAAACGGGAACAAGAGAAGAGTCTCTGCGCTCAAAACAGACACGGGAACAAGAAAAGAGTCTCTGTGCTCAAAACAGACACGGGAACAAGAAAAGAGTCTCTGTGCTCAAAACAAACACGGGAACATGAGAAGAGTCTCTGTGCTCAAATCAGAAACAGGAACAATAGAAGAGTCTCTGCGCTCAAAACAGACAAGGAAACAAGAGAAGAGTCTCTGTGCTCAAAATAAACACGGGAACAAGAGAAGAGCCTCTGTGCTCAAAACAGACACGGGAACATGAGAAGAATCTCTGTGCTCAAATCAGAAACAGGAACAATAGAAAAGTCTCTGCGCTCAAAACAGACAAGGGAACAAGAGAAGAGTCTCTGCGCTCAAAACAGACATGGGAACAAGAGAAGAGTCTCTGTGCTGAAAAAAGACACGGGAACATGAGAAGAGTCTCTGTGCTCAAATCAGAAACAGGAACAATAGAAGAGTCTCTGTGTTCAAAACAGAAATGGGAACAAGAGTAGAGTCTCTGTGATCAAATCAGAAACAGGAACAATAGAAGAGTCTCTGTGTTCAAAACAGAAATGGGAACAAGAGAAGAGTCTCTGTGATCAAATCAGAAACAGGAACAAGAGAAGAGTCTCTGTGCTCAAAACAGACACGGGAACAATAGAAGAGTCTCTGTGCTCAAAACAGACACGGGAACAAGAGAAGAGTCTCTGCGCTCAAAACAGAAACGGGAACAAGAGAAGAGTCTCTGCGCTCAAAACAGGAACGGGAACAAGAGAAGAGTCTCTGCGCTCAAAACAGAAACGGGAACAAGAGAAGAGTCTCTGCGCTCAAAACAGAAACGGGAACAAGAGAAGAGTCTCTGCGCTCAAAACAGGAACGGGAACAAGAGAAGAGTCTCTGCCCTAAAAAGAGAAACGGGAACAGGTA